CTCGTAAAAGGTGGCTTTACTAACTCTGTTGCACAGCCCCACTGGGAGCAATTCACAGGTCCTGATTCCTGAGCCACTCTGATTTCCTCATGACTCCTCCGTGGGGAGATGGAATCACTGTGAGAGAGATGGGGTTTGAGGTCTCTTATAGGTTTGATGTCTTGTGTGCTAAGGAGAGGGAAGCATGTTGCCTGGAGAAGGAGACCTGCAAAGCAGGTATTCCTTCGTGCTGCTTGATCAGAGGCACTGAGTCTCTGAGCCTGCTCCTCCACCCAGCAGCAGGTCTATCCCTGTTGGATTCTCCTCAGGGCCAGCCTACTGGAAATGCTGTGCTTCCATGCACCAGTGGACCCTGCTCACTGCCTCTCCCCACCCCTTCCTGGCAATGTAAAGCCTTCCAGAATTTACAGGCTAGCTAGAACCAAGGCCGGATCTACCCCTTTCGCGCCCCTAGGCACAGCATCTTCAGCACCCCCACCTACAGCTGAGCTTCGTGTTTTCCGTAAAAAATGAAACTTTCAACTTTTAGGTGCCCCTAGGCATGTGCCTACAGTGCTTAATTGGAAATCCAACCCTGGCTAGTGAGGAAATTCCTTGACGACCTCAGCAGAGCATGTCCTGACTCCTGTGTATGTGTTGATTCTTCTAGCATTGCTTTAGCAAGCAGGGAATTATTTAGCAGCCTAAATTTAAAACTAGCAGAGATTTGGTTTGGGGAATTAGCATATGCCTCATGTTTTTCCTGTGCATTTAATGTTTTCCTGTTTATAAATATTAAAACATGCTGTTCACATGTACTCTGGGGCTTTTGGGAGGCAGTGAGGCCAGATCCTCAACTGGTGTTGTCTTAGCTCCATTAAAATGAATTTTTCCACTGAAGTCAGTAGAGCGCCACTGACTCACAACAGTTGAGGATTTGCCAGAGTGGTGTTTATGGTTGCTCGAAGTACATATTCCTCATTAACAGTGTATTTATTTAGCTTGAAACTTCCATGCAAAGTTTGGTTCAGAGAGGAAGGTATTCTGAGCCAGAGGAAGGGGGGAATGGAGTCCATCAAGTTGGTAGTTGTTCTGGTGGGATGAAACATTAACTGTGATGGCTTGATTAAGAAATAATGGATGTCTGCTTGGTTATGGAAGCATCAGGGGACACTTTAGTTGCACAGCTAAAGTACTACCTGCAATGACATCTGTAGCTTTCATAGGGTTTGGGCTGTGTTTATTTTCATGTTTAAATAATGTGGCAGGAATAAGGGAAATGTGTCTATTATTAGGGTAAGGATGGGGGAAGAACAACAGTCCTTGCCTAACATCTGCTTCCTTTTAGATATAATATAATAGTTATGTACAGTTTGTTTTTAAATATCTGGGATCACTGTCACGTAGACACTTAAATACAAGTTGAGTTTTTGTTTTGTAACGTACATGAATTCATTGAGGGTAGGCATGGCTGATCTTTAATGGATTAGCTGGTCTTGTCCCCTACATTTCCATCCTCGCCTTGACTTACACACCTTTGCATATCATCTGTAATTGTGTGCGGACCCTCACAGATAATATTCCATACTCGCCTGCACATCAAATGAGAAATTCTGCTCGGTGGATTCACTCTGGCATGTGTTATGCCAACAGAATGCTGGGAGATTGTTAGTGAGTGAATCTGTTAACAGGTGAAAGGGGGGTGGGGAAAAAGTGTGTGTTTCCAAAAGCCTTTTATTCATCCAAATGCAAACAGATTTTCATTGGGCTTCCAAAAGGCATGCTGGGGATCTCGGGGGGACACATCCCTGCCAATTGTCAAGAGTAGCTTTTGCTGAACCTGTGCCTCTCTGGGGGGAAAATGGTCTCTCTTGGGCTGAGACTAAACACTGCAAATCTCAGATCAAAAGGCAAATGGTTGAGAAATTTTGAAAGCAACCGAAGAAGACTCCATCGGGGAGATGATTAGGCAGCCCTAACTGTAGGCATCACTGTGGGCTCTACCTTAAATAAATAAATAAATCCTCCTGCATCACGTGAATGGAATTATCACCTGAAAAAACGGAAGCCTCAGGAAAACGTCTCATGATATGATAATTTCTAAACTGTTTTCCAAATTATATATTTATAAAATTATAAAACTCCTGCAGCTCCACTACTGGATGGGTGGGTAAATAAATAAGTGTGTGATTGGTTGGTTCGTTGGTTCGTTTCCAGTGGTGGAGCTGCAGGAGTTTTGCATTACAGGGACCACAACAGGATAGTACAACAGTTGTGGGGGAGGTGGGAGTATTGTGAATGTTAATCCTGCCATCTCTAGCAGGTTCACCTTGGCTTCCCAGAGGGCTTCATGTGCATTCTGGGGTGCAAAATGGGGATACTGATACTGACTTCCTTGTAAATCTGCTGCTGAGACTCGCTGTAGAAGAGCGAGGAGTCACTATTAGTATGTGATTTAATAGGACTGTTTGCAGATCCTCCAAAAGTTTGGGATATGGATTAATAGCTAGAAGTTTGGATGCTGAGGCAACATGCGCAGGAGACGTTTGATCCTCCAGGCTCGCTAGCCAACCTGTATTCGAGAACTGGTAAACTGGGTCTTCATTGGAGGAAGGGCCAGGGGCTTGCTCCCCCTTTCTGGTGTGTCTGGGGGAGAATGGCAGGCGTTTGAATAGCTGCATGAGACATCTCCCCTTCTCTCGCTTCCGTCAATAGAATGGGACTTTTCCTCCTCTGCATCCCATGGGAACACATGAATCCCTCCCCATCTTTCTCCTGCTCTGCCTTCCCCCACCCAGTCCTCCTGCTTCTCTCCTCTCTCAAATTCTCACTCGTTGCTTTCTTCCCCATTTTTACCTCTGCTCCCTCCCCAGAGTTAATGTCTCTGGTCCCTGCACCCTTTCCCTCCCCAGAGTTGAGTGTACCTTTGTTCTCCTCGGTCCCTTTAAGTCATGGGGGAAATAGGCCACATCTCTTCCCCTCCCCCCAACCCCCCATAGGATAAGCCTATGGGTGGATGCTGCAGTTGTGCTGCACTATCTGCATCTAACAACTGCTCCCGTCCCGTCTGCTTCTTCGCTATTCTCTACCCTGCACTGAGACCGCAGAGGGCATTAGGGAGAGTGGAGGGCAATTGCCAGCTAGCCTCCTGCTTGCTTCAGTACTCCACCCTAGGGGCTGGGGACCAGCAGAGCTGTTACAAAAAACTCCTGCAGTAGCTGCCACAGCTCCCAGTGGGTCAGTGAATGGGATGGCTCTGGAAAGATGGGGTTGGGGAAATCTGGGTTATCCACATCACAGCTCTGCTGCTAAAAGTCCTAGGTAGGCTAATAGAGTGCTCCATCCTTCCATTAACGCTTTCACACTGTGCAAAGGACAGAGGAATATATACTATGCAAATACTGACTGGTTCTACAAAGAGGTAGAAATGGGCCATAGTCCCCATTGGTGCCATCCGATCCCGCAGAACGTAGGGTGTCATTTGTTAAGTCTCTAACCCTTATGGTTGCAATGAAAACTTGAAGGTGACCTGATGCAATGCTGTCTTCCTGAAACTAGAAGTTCAGAGAAACTATAACCAAAAGAGGCATGACCTGTCCCTATTAATCCAGTAGCATCTTGGCTCTCCACCCTAATGGTAGCATTGCTAACTGTTTTAGTGGGGAAAAATATCTGACTTCTTTTAGCTTGTGGGGGGAACGATACTACCACTGGGCGGGGAGGGGGTTTCCCAGTCTTACCTCTGCTTGACAGTTGTGAGTGGGGCGGGGTGGGTCAGACAAAGAACAGTGTACGTGTCTATATTCCAGTAAATAAAATAACATGGCTATATTATATATTGGCTGCAAAGAAGTGTTAGTGATACGTTCAGGTGGATGTTTAAGATCATGGAAGTGTTACAGGAGAGGGGCTAAAATTGGATTAGTTTGATTATGTATTCATATTAATCTGCCTAATGAACCATTTCCCCCCTCCCCCCCTTCTTCTCACTGCCACAGCTGAAGAATAAATTTATGAAGAAATTGCCCCGTGATGCTGAGGCCTCCAATGTGTTGGTTGGTGAGGTAGATTTCTTGGAAAACCCTTTCATTGCCTTCGTCCGGCTGCAGCAGGCAGTTATGCTGGGTGCTCTGACTGAAGTCCCCGTTCCTACCCGGTAAGAGAGCCTCCCCCACATGCAACATGAATCAGAAAAGTGTTTTCACCTTTAAAATAATGACACCATTCCAAAAGGGAACCGTCTCCATTGCTTTCCATAATGCAACTTGCAGTGGATTTATATATTTTACCAAGACTATCAGAACTGAGCTAACAGATCAGCCCTGCTGTTTCTCAGTCAAATTGAGATCTTGGATTTGTTGTAATACCTAATCTATAAAAATATGAATCTATGAATATACATAAACACTTATTAATGTAACACTAAAGGGACACTATTAACTTGAACTCTAGTCGGTTTGGGGGGGGAGGAAGGAAGTACTACACTCATCCCTGAATTCCCTGGTATTTTTTCTGGTTTTATAAGTACATTTTCTTCCTCTTAAAAATGCTTTTCTCTCCCTTGTTGTTGTCTCAAAGAACCCTAAAAAATAAATGGGGGACAGTGAAACTGACAAGATGCAAAGGGTGAAATCCTGGCATTATTAAAAAAGAAAAGAAAAGTGCTATCCTATATAAAAAGTGAATAAATTGTACAAAATCTTTCAATAATAGTCATTGTAGGTGTTGCTTGTTATTACAAGGAGTGCAGATTTTTCAGGCGGAAGTGTATTGTTGTTTTTTAAAGTAACCATGTCCCTTTTTGTGTTAGAAATTTAAGGCCTGATCCTGTAAATGTGAACATACTTAACTTCAAGTATGTGAATGAGCTTGCTCATATGTTTAAAATAAAGCATATGCATAAACATTGGCAGTATCAGGGCCATTAACTCACAAAATTGAATATATGACAGTTAAAGGTCTATTCATATGCATAACAATAGTCTTTAATTATGTAGTTACATACTTATTCTCTATGCATTATATGGCAATGTCAGTTTAAAAAAGTGTAGAACCTTAGATACATGTACTGCATTTTTTGTGTGTTCTAGACAGAAACCATGAAAGTAATTAGTATTAAAAGTATATAGTAAAATGTACTTAAATTACCAGTGAAGCATAATGAAGTTATAATGAAAAGAATTACAGGCTGCATACAGATTGAATTTCAGTTAAATCACAATGTTCTTTTTCAATTCCACCTCACTAGCAGAGGTGCTTCATTAATATGTATTACTGTAATATAGGTATTACTGTGTGTATATATATACAATTACTACTTAATGCCATTACATATTAGCACCTGGCAACATACACTTGTTTTAATATCAATTTACAGATTTAGTTTACATTGTAAATACTGAGTTTGAAATGTCCTGATAACTTCTAAAGTATTAGTGTGCCAATACTTATTTTTACGTGAACATTTACATTTTTTTAATGTGCATCCATTATATGATGAAAGTAATATTTGCACAGTGCTGAGAAAGTTTGAGGATATATATATAAAATATGAAACGTCATAAGAGGAGACATAAAGTACTTACTTGAGCAAAGAATAACAAACTATTAAGGCACAAGATAAAACTGATATGGGAAGATAAATTTGTCAAAAGTCCACAGGTCTAAAGTTTATAAACGTATATGACTAAGATTAGAAATACACCAGAATCAAAATGGCCCGTATTCAAGTTAAATAATCATGGGTAAGTGGCAACTTGTCAGTAATTGTCATGAACTGGGCTCAAAGAGATTGACCTGTCTGATGTTCAGGTAACATTGCTTATTAACCATGGTGCATGTCTGAAGTCTAGTTCACTGGAGCATTAGAATGGAAATGCTAAGAAATGTTTGAGTATGTTTAATTTATTTATATTTTGGAGTATTTTTTAAAGAATACATTGGAAAAAAATAGGGTGGATTATTTTTAGCAATAACTGTTTTTGCTGTCTCAGCATTACTGGTTGCTGTACATTTCAGTACTGCAGTCACTAGTCTGATCCTGCTTATTTCTTTTTTAATACATGTCTGATTGTTTCTCAGTAGAGGTAAAATTAGACATCCTTTGTTCTGGTAGTGAGAGCTGAGAAGTTGGATATAGAAAAGCTTAATAACCTCATGAAATTATTCCAGAGTTTATTGAAAACAATACATCCTTCCATGTTAACATTTTTTCCAGGAAATATTATTATCCATTTGCTGACCTCCAAACCAAATGTTAGCTGTAATCAGAGTAGGGAGGCTCATTAACGTGCTTCTGTGAGGAATGAAGAGCCATTTGCAGTGGTTGCATCCTGTGAAATCCAATAAAGGAAATCCCAGAAGGGCCCACAGTGGCTATGATGGACTACCTCATCATTCAGTCATTTGTTTTAACCTCCCTGTGCAGTGAACATGTCTGCTGTAAAGTGTACTTCAGAACTCGCAAATCCTAAAAGGTGCAATAGGTGGAACCTTTTCTGGTTTTTTTAAATTTAGGTTTCCCTTGTTCTGTTATCTGATAAAGACCGCAGCCAAAACTTTCAAATATAGGTGCTCAAACTTAGACCTCCTCAAGCCATATTTAGTCTCCTACATAAAGTGGCCTAATTTTTTTGAGGAGTTAGGCTGCAGTTGTGCTGACACAGCAATGTAAGCCTAGGGTTAGTGGAACTCGAGTCAGCTGACAGGCGTCAGGGAACCCCAGGCTTGAGCGTCTTCATCGCGTTTTAACCTTAGGTTAAGGATTTTCTGACCCATCTCGAACCTAGGGCACTGGTGTCCATATTGCAGTACACAGACCCGAGTCAAAGTAACCCTATCTGGACTTACATTGCTGTGCAAACATACCCTCACTGACTTCAAGTGTGGGTACGGATTACTGCAGCCTGAGACCAGTTGGTGATTGCAGTGGGAGCTGCAGCTGCTCAGTGCCTCTAAAAATCAGCCCACTTCTATTTAGGGGCTAAACATGGAGTCAGAAGCCTAATTTTAAGCTCCCAGATTTGAAAATGTTGGTGTAGAACTGTGAGCGATGGTTTATTTGGGGTGTCTGTATAATTTCGTAGTGTTACAATTGGAAATTTATTTACCAGGTGACCCACTCATTGCTTCTTATGCTCTTAATTAATTAGCCTATTTTTCTTGAGCATCCATAAATATGTTGAGTGCTTCATAGACACAAGTGTAAACCCCAAGGAGTTTACAATCAAGGATCCTGCCTCATCCTGCATCAAGGAACTTGATGGGAGCTGGATCCTGCTATATGGGCATAAACTGAGGTCTGACTCCAGTAGAGAAGGTCATAAATAACCTGGGGGAAAGCGAGGGAAAAGAAAAAGCTCCTAGTAATAAGATGACATAACATGGCTACTCAGAAAAGTATGTTAGACATCTTGGTGCTTCCACTTTCAAAGCAAATGAATCTTGATTCCCATGGACAACATATCAGCTGTGACTTTTCAAGGGGGTGGGGCGGCATTTGTTGAGGAGGAGGATGCAAGCACCAACATCCTATAGTTTAGAGGTAAGCTTTGCACTGAGCTCTCCAAAGGGTGAAAGGCTAATATTCTGTGCACCCCTTCATCCTCATTCCTTTTCTTCATGTTGCTTTGGAAATGTAGAACAAACACATTTTACTGTATGGGTTATTTAGACTGTATCAGGCAGACTGATGGCTCTGTAGTCCCTTTTTTATTGCCTCTAATTGTTGTTTGGTTTTGATTTCAGAATAATGTTTAGTTACAGAGCAGCTGATGCTTAATGGAAATCTTTGAAAGATTTTTCTATTTAAAAATCACTCTGCCTAGGCTTCGTTACTAAGAATATTTACATGAAAACAGAATCTTTGTTTAAAAGAAAGAAGCAAGAGCCCATGAGCTCTGACTGAACAAAGACCCTGTTCTTATGCCATCTTACCATCCTTGGCATTAAAGAACAGGGGAATTGAAATCCACATGAGGAAGTGTAAGTACAGCTGTTTTGCAATAGAATGTTTGTCAAAGTTTTCCATGAGGCATCATCGGCCCTTCACCCTGTGCTGTGTCTGCCCATTACAGATTGGATTTCCCAGGCTTTTAAAATCGTGTCTATTCTGCTCATTTTGGTCTCTAATAATTAATTTTAAGTCTACAGTGCTAAGAATTTCTCACTTTCACAAGCACTTATTTACCACATTTACGCTAATGACTTGGGTGGGTCTTAATGAAGCTTCTAGACTAAAATTCTGCAGATTACTTTGAGCTCTCCCCCATCTGCAGCATCAAGATGGGGGAGAAGGTAAAGAAACACCAAGAGAGGAGTTTTAAGGATATGTGGGCGGGATTTATCAGTACAGAACTGCATAGTCGAACCTGTGATTCTGCACCATTATTATGCCTTGAAACCTCAACTGAAATTTAGTGACTTGTCCAAAGTCAGACAAGAAGCTTGTGGCAGTTGAGCCTTGATCTCCAGACTCCCAATTAATTGGTTAATAACGAGATCATCCTTTTCTTTGGTCTGATTTTTTTTTAAGTGAAGACACAATCTGTGTGTCTTGCTCATTGTTCAGGATATCAGCCTCGTCCCAATGACTGCGGCTCACTCAAACTTTTCCAGCTTTGGGGCATTCTCTGGGGAATCCTGACTCTTGGCAACAAGGGTTTACATTTCTCAGTCTCTGCTTCTGTATAACACCAGGCAAGCAACCGGCTGGGTGGCATGTTGATAAGGTGCCCAAACAATGAATCATCATGTGTGGTGAAGGAGGGAAAAACAAAAGACTTCACCTGTCTGGAGTCTTCATTTCCTTCTCCCATAGATCAATAACAAATAGCGCCCCAGCCACCAAGCAGTGTCCAGTCCAGCGTCCATCGGTTTCTGATGGGAAAACTAACCCAGCTGGCCTTTCCCTTCCACTAAGGAGGCATGTGCAATCACTCTGTTGATCAAGGGAACAAGATAAATAGCAACAGCGATACAAACCAGAAAACACCACCCTTTTCTGAAGTAACTGCCGTTAACCCTTAGAGAAATCCCGGCGTTGGCTTTTTCCTGCTTTGGAGTGAGAGGGGTTCTCCCCATGTGTGGGCAGCCCTGGCTTTCACCCTGTGATACTTCCTGCTCTGCCACGGTTATTTGTATATGGCATGCCCTGCCTCCTGGATTAGCAGCTACCGCACAGGGATTGCAGGCAGGCTTGGCCCTAGGACGGTGTGGCTCACTCATGCCTCAACCCAGTGTGGGGTTTCTACACCTCCTCACAAGTACATTTCCCCCCCAAATTGAGCTCTGATGCTTGTTTATGCCATTTAGCAGAGATTTCGGTCCACATTCTTTAGCATAAGCAGGCATGGCACCTGACCCCTCATGAATCCCTCCAGCAAACTGGGTTTAATTTTGGCACCAAAATCTCTGGAGTTGACTCCCACTGAGATGGATGAGGATTGTGTCCATTTACACCAAGCTGAGTTTGGTCCTTAATCTCTTGCTAGAAAGCAGGGCAGTAATATGGCTGTGGTGCCTTTCTTTGGACCCTTTTCCAGACAGGCTGGATTTACAGTGCACACAATCTGCTTGATTTGCACTGCTATGTAGTGCTTCTCCATCAAACCCAGCGTGAGACACAGGTTGGTGAAAATTATTGTCGTTTGCAATAATTCCCATGCTTTGCTAAGTCAACTGAAATCCTAAAAACAGATCTCCTGTCTTGTCTTCTGTTGCCACGATCTAAGAGAGTGGATTGGTAACTGGATAACAGCATCTTTCATATCAAGATTGCATTGGATGCCAGATTGGCGTTGTCTGGCCTGCATTGTCTCAAATCAGTTCCCGTGAAACAGGTGGCCATATCACAAAACTGCCATCAAAATGAATGGGCATTTTTCTCAGCCAGTGGTCGGGCCTGGGGATTGAACTACCCTTCCATGGCTCAGCTGTGACCCAGATCATTCATGGGTGAGCTACAGGGCAGGGTGAATGTAGGAAGCTGGCATTCCTGCTGCCCGGACTGTGGCTGTTCGTGGATAGGCAGCTGTCAGTCTGGCACCTTTTAAAAATAAAAACGTGGCCATAGGACCTAGATAACAGGTCAGCAGGTTGTACTGGTTAGCACCTCAGCTTTGGCAGCCTTAGCTCGCTGAATGCTACTCTCTCCCATTCAAAATACACGAGCAGTGATTAGAAGCAAAGGCAGAGACGGTAAAGAGCAATGATTTCATATTGAAGATATTCTCAAGTAAGTGTGTACATAGTAATAAGTAATTGTTGTCTAACAGGTAACAAATAAAGGATTAAGGCTTAGTGATCCCTGCAGTATGTGTAAGTTAAAAATATAATCCACTTACATGAATATCTGCCATGAACAGTGGCTATGGAGGATTTACTATCAGCAAGGCTGTGTTGTGTCCCCACCAGGAACACAAGGCATGCCAGGCTCAATCAGTTTAGCTAAATTATTAAGAGCTAAAGGCTGATTTAAAAGAATAGTTTTCCTTCACACATGAGTAGCTGTCCTGGATGCTGAATCCTACAGATACTTCATCCCCAGAGAAGCACTGATAAGCAAATGCAGTGCAGTGTGTTTGAGCTCTGTGGGATTGATGGCTCTAGAAAGGAAATATTAGATGTTTTCAAGGATATTGTTTTTAATAAATAATTTAAGAAATTAAAACACTTTCTTCCCATCACAAATGCACCCCCCCCCACTGCCCTTCTAGCTCGCCTGGATGTCTGCTGCTCTCCTAAGGTGACCTCAGGAGGCCGGTCTGTTTTGCTGGCTGATGGATGAGGAGAGTCGCGGTCCCACCCTTTTTGGGAGCGCAGGGGAGCTCTGAGGGATAAGGGAGTGAGCAGCGGAGCACAGGGGCTAGAACTCTGCCTTGCTTGGGTCACACAAATTGAGGGTCACTCTTTACATCCCTTCCCCAGCCATTGCAGCAACGACACCCATCATTGACCGGATTAGTTAGGAATAGGAATAATGTTGGCAAAGTATTTAATGTAGCTGTCCTTCTAAGGGAATTTAGCAGCTGGAAATAAAAAGGGGCCAGCACTATGTGACCAGCCAGACCATTAGCAAGGGCTTTCCAGACTTCCGGGGGTCTGCAGAGCCCAGTTTGGGAACTTCTAGGCTATATCACACTTGGACAGCATCTGCACGTGATCAGTACATGTTCCTGGTCTCTGAGCATTTGAGGAGTATTATATTTTAACAGCTGCCTGCACCTGGCTCATGAATTAGGTTGCAGGGGTTGCTGCTGGTTGCTAGACCCCTCTGTATAGCAACATGACAGCACTGGTTTGATGAAGAAAATACAAAGAAACCTGATTGATATCTGAGCCAAGGTGTCTGTGTGTAGTGGTGACCTAGGTCTTTAGAGGAAAGACTCCGAGGACCACATAACTGAAGGAAGAATTTGATCCCCTAATTTGCTAGGGTAGCAAGTTTTGATTAACTGAAGTGTGTGAATCTCCGAGGAAGACACACACTAGTTATGCTGTTGACACAAAGGCCTAGTCTCATTCCTCCTATGGGCCAATGGCGTGACTATGAAGGGGGCTGAGCTCCCGTTGAAATCAGTGGGAGCAGTGGTGACTCTCCAGTTCTGAAAACCCAAGCTTAAAATAATGCATTTTGCAAATTTTCCTAGATTCCTCATATTTTGTGCAACTTTTACCTGAATTTACTGTACACTGAAACAAGATTCACCTTGTTTTTTTGATGAAATACAACTGCGTTGTGGGTTTAGAGTGAGGTCTTCAAACGTGCCCAGTGCTGGCCTAAATCTGGTCTCGTTGAAGTCAATGAGAGTTTTACCACTGACTTCAATGGGAGCAGTTAGGTCAATGCTGATTGCTTTTGAAAATCTCACTCTTAATATCTGATTATATCCTGTGTATTTTACAGGGATGTGGAATGTATTGCATCTGTAACTACTACAGTATGATCCTTGTAAAGATGAATCTCTGTGTTCACGCCGTTTATTGATTGTATATGAATTTATGGTACAATGAGTAAATGATACAGTTTGCTATTCTGGATGGTGACGATCCATTTGTTTTTGGTCAGATTCCTATTCATTTTGCTGGGTCCGAAGGGAAAAGCGAAGTCCTACCATGAGATTGGTCGATCCATTGCCACTTTGATGTCCGATGAGGTAGGGATCTTTGCATACAATGTCCAATTGTTTTCTGTTGTTGTTTCATCAACCTAGATGGTAGCCATCCTCTTCTTTTGCTGTATAGTAACTTTTTGGGTTCCACATATCAGTACCGTACACAAGGCTGCTTTGTATGGCAAACTGGGTGATGGATCCGTGAGTGCTGACTTTATGTACAGCTGAGATATCAAATTCTGATTATCTTTAAATTCCTTTTCTTAATTATTTAATCTGCCTCCACACTTCTGTAAATGTGTAGAACTAGAACGTGTTTCTTTCCTGCATCTTTCCCTGTAATCTGTAATTCTTTCAAATACATTAGAGTTAATTTATAAACTGATTTTTTTATTCACATTCCAAGATCACAGGTACCCCACAGCAACTCTGACAGTGCATTTTATTGTTGAAATAGTTACACCCACCATGTGTTGCCCTGTGTCCCAGAGCACTGCTTTAACTAATAATTGTACATTACCCCTTTGTACCTAGTAATTACTTTCTAATAATACACACCAATAATGTGACATGATGCTATCTACATTAAGTTAAACATACTTCTTCTCAGTGTCTCTTGGGCTCTGCACAACTGTATCACCAACATCTTAGCATTTTCTCTTTCTTCTTGTGCTCCTTTGTTCTCTGACAATTCCCTTGGTTTCATTCACCCACTTCAAACTCTGTCTTTTATTATATTCCGCCCCTGTGCTCAGAACAGTCTCCTAATTTCCCATGCACCAAGTGCCCTCTCTCATTCCTCCAATGCCTCTTTAAAGTCCACTAGTTTTCAAGTACTTCCATATGCTGATCTCCCCCCGCCACCTGAATTGTCTTTCTGAAAGGTTCAAAATATGTTTATGAAAATAAATCTTAATATTCTTTTGTCTCTCTTTAACCACTGGCTTCAGCCTCACTCGTTTACTTCCAGTTGGCGCACTACATTATTTCCCTGTGTTGCAGGGACCTTTGACACTGGTGCACCTCAGTCCCTTCTATTCTCTGCCTATGGCCCACAGTAGTTTAGTGTCCTGTGGGCTGTAATAGTCTGGTCTAGTTTCGATGGCTGGGTTTAGTGTGTGGATGCTGGGTGGTATTGGTGGCCTGTGGTATACAGGAGGTCAGTCTAGGTGATCTGGTGATCTCTCTGGTCTTAAACTCTCTCACTCTATCAGTAGAGGTAGCCAGAAGACATTTCATTAAAAATGCTGAATAAAATGTTGAAGTTGTTTCTGTTTCATAGGGTTCAGAACTGCCCCCCCCGCGCCCTCCTCCTTTTTTGGGGGGGGGGTTCTTGACTTTTTAAAATTGGGTGACTTTTCCCCGACCCCACACAAAGCATTACTGAAATCTGTTAAAACTTTTTGGCTACTGAAAACTGGGTTTGTGGCAAATGAAAAATTTTGCTAACATTTTTCATAAAAATGTTGTTAAAAACAAAGCATGTCAAGAAAGTCGTGTTTTTGGGGGGGGGGGGGGTTTAAAGGCCATTTTTGTTTTAAAGTCTTTTTGTTCAAAAACCATTGGCCAGCTTTGCTCTGGGCCATATCTGATTGGCCCAAGCACCACTGATATTTTTTTTTGTAGTGTATTGAGTGTATGAAAGCTTTTCTGAAAGATCTGTTGTAAGCCTTGGCTGTAGAAAATAGTAAACCTCTTGCTGCATTGAGATTTTTGCTTCTCCTGCAGGTGTTCCATGACATTGCCTATAAAGCCAAAGACAGGCAGGACCTGATCGCTGGAATCGATGAGTTTCTGGATGAAGTCATTGTGCTTCCACCTGGGGAGTGGGACCCTGCCATCAGGATAGAGCCCCCCAAATCTCTCCCATCTTCTGATAAAAGGTAACAGCAGGGAGTAGCAGGGCTCATGTCAGTAACAACAGAGTAGGATATCCTGGGCCGGCGTGTTAACTAGAGAAGATGAAGGGAGTGCGATAAGTTGAACCCAAGAACATGTGTTACATTAAAGCAAGAGATGTTTATGTAGGCAGGGCTGACTCCCGTTCTCAGTTATATGAGAGTGCAGGGCAACAGGGGTTGAGTATCTTGAGGAAAACATGCTTGGCCACGTAAGTTGGATCCACAGCATTTACTCTCCGAGCTTGAGGAACGAAAGCAGGTGAATGAGGGTTGCAAGTGCAAACAGTGCAGTGGAAGGGGAGGGATGGGAAGGGAGCAGAGGAGTTGTCATTTTTCCCCCTTAGCATTGAATTTTCCACGTGAGACGGTAGAAGAGAATGTGCCTGAAAGCAGTGTCTGAGAATGTTGAGTTACGCTATAATTTCAGGTCTTTGCTAATAACCCTGTGCGGAATGTCCCTGCAGCACTGTGCTTGTACCAGCACTTCTTTGGGAGAATCTGTGTGTCCTAATACAGCAAGCCATTTGTAACTGTAGTTAAGCTCAATATTGAATTTTATTTTACGACTTCCAGTATGCAATGAGTTAATCCCTTATCTGCAGCATGCCAGTCTGGCTGCTTGTATAGCAGGAGCATTCTGTGTTGTTTTATGTGCCACCACTTCAAAAAGGACATGACATATAAGGCTTGTGTGATGGAGCTGGGTATAGATTTTTGTCCTATAGTGTGGAACATAGCGAATCCTCAGTGTGACTTGTCTTTCTGCATAGGAAAAACATGTATTCGGGTGCGGAGAACATACAGATGAATGGAGACACGCCTCATGATGGGGGCCATGGAGGTGGGGGCCACGGTGACACTGAAGAACTACAACGAACTGGCAGGTCAGTGACGAATTCTCTGATTTGTTCAGCATGATGGTTTGCCCTTTTAGCCCCTTTTACTTTGCATCTTATAATATTGTTCTCACCTGCTAGGCGCATGGCTACCATTTTCAGAAGTGACCTGTGATTTTTGGGTGCCCAGCTTGAGAACTTTTAAAGTATCCCAAGCACCAGCCCTCTGTAACTCAGACCCCTTCAAGGTGTCTTAGATTGGAGACTCAAACAATGAGAACCCCCAAATTGCTAGTCACTTGTGAAATGCTTGGCCTATGAATGTGTGAAATTACGCTGATCGTTATGAAGTGCGTACATCCTAAATAATGATTCTTTTCCATTCATATTTGTGGAAATGTTTTAGCTGTTTGAAGCTATCATAAGTTTATAAAATAAATGTTCAAAGCCATCAATTGTCAATAAAAGAAAGATCCTGTTTCCTGACATTCCCATTACAATGTAGAAGAGCCCAAAAGAGAGATTTAATAGAACAGAAACAGAGAAGATAATGTCGCATGAGGCCGGATTCCCTGTTCTGTTACTTCGGTTTCGTGCCAGTGAACTCCATTGGTTTCGATGGAGTTATGCTGGTATCAATCTATTGTAACAGAATGTAGAATTAGGCCTGGTTCAGTTCAGCAACTCAATCAGTGTAGTGTTCTACTGTAATTGAGATGTGTAGCTCAGGGAGATATCTAAAACTATTCTCTTTTCCCACTCACTAGACTGTCAGACTGGATGGGAAGCTGAAGTAACATTCCTCAGTTTTTGAGATGATGGTTCCAGGCTACTACTATTTCTTAATAACATGGTGCTTTGTAAAGTGCTTTGAGATCCTAAGACTATTCCCAAATATAAAACTTTGCTGAGATATAAAGTTAAGGTTATAAGTCAGATATCAGTTAAAACATTATTAGAATGTTTTTGCAGGTATTAAAAAAAAAATAAAGCTGAAAGCCTGCAATTACAAGTTAGAGTTAATGTTCCTTCTAAGAAAGGCAAGAAATTCATGTTGTCATAAAGAACCATAACAGTAATCCTGTGTGCCTGTCTATCATCATATCTCTTTAATGTGCTGTGTCTGAATCGCCTGAGAATGTTACCGATTTGTTATCTTCCAATCAGTAAATAGTTTGGAAGGTAGATGGGTCTCTCATGTAGTGTGAAGTTACTTACCTTGTGCTCTGTACAATGCCCACCGGAAACTTATACAAACCAAATTCTATTCCGTTCCTGATTATTTAAAAAGAATGTGCTTCCTATTGCTTGAGTTTCCCTTGCCCTCCAAATCAAGGAGGAGCCATTGGACTTGTGATCCTTTCTTACCGTTTTACTCCCAATTCTACTTCTGGTGAATATTTTGAAGCATTTTCCGTTTAGCAGTTATCTGACTCAAACACCCATCGATTTATGCCTTGTGTAGAAATAACTGCAATGACCCATATCCTTTCGGATTGCTTAGCCCCTCGTTTTTGATGATGTCCCTGATTAGTTCCTCATCATGGTAAATGTTATTGTAAGACTTTTTTTTTTCATCATCTTCTTCTCTTGCCTAATCTTATTTCCTCAGATTTTGTGGTGGTTTAGTCAAAGACATAAAGAGGAAAATACCTTTCTTCGCCAGTGACTTCTATGATGCTTTAAATATCCAAGCTCTTTCAGCCATTCTCTTCATCTACCTGGCCACAGTGACCAATGCTATCACTTTTGGAGGTCTGCTTGGTGACGCTACAGACAACATGCAGGTTAGAAATCATTTCGAACTTATACAAACAATGTAGGCCCAATTTTCCTCATTTCAGGGAAGCAGATGGGCCATGTATAAAGAATGCTTACTTAGCACAAGATTTATCCTGCTGCTCTAACTAAAATTGCCCTCACTTCTGTGCCTGTTATTGTACTTCTGTTCTTTTAGCAGTTGCAGATGCAGTTATATTAAATTGTGTTCGAGCAATAGGCAAGAAAAAGAGGGGAGGCCATTTTTGTATCAAAATTACTGGTGCTCTTCAAGTGTGCTAACTGCTTTTGTGCATTATTTAATTTGAACCAGGTGTATTAATTCTGATTCACACTTTCCATGTCATCAGAGCTTAACAGGGCATGTTCTGCCTGATGCTTAACTTTGTTGGGTCTTCTGTCTGGCTCAAAAAAACACTGCTGTGTGGTTGTCCACCAGGAACAGAAGGGATAAGGAGGTAGACTGAGGAATCATTTAAAAGGTGTTTTGAGACAGACACTACAGACAAAATGTAAGCTGTTTAGAATGATTAACTTTATAATAAAAAAAAGGGTCAAATCCTTATGCTCAGTGGTTTGAGCATTAGCCTGCTAAACCCAGGGTTGTGAGTTCAATCCTTGAGGGGGCTATTTAGGGATCTGGAGCAAAAATCTGTCTGGATTGGTCCTGCTTTGAGCAGGGGGTTGGACTAGATGACCTCCTGAGGTCCCTTCTAATCCTGATATTCTATGATTCTATGATGCTTTTACTGCATACTCAGGCAGTTTTCCATTGAAGTGGGAGTTTCGCATGAGTAAGGATTAAAGTGATAATGTCAGGATGTGGCTTGATAATACATAAATAAATAAATAAAATATTTGTGGGTTTTCTATTTTAAAAAGGCCAAAGGAAAATTAAACACAGTTGAAATGTAAGTACACTTAGGTCTCAGATAAGCAATAGACAGTAATGTTAACGTAGAATTATTTTTGTTTTATTTATATATATAAATTTATATTTTGAAATGTAAGTACACTTAGGTCTCAGATAAGCAATAGACAGTAATGTTAACGTAGAATTATTTTTGTTTTATTTATATATATAAATTTATATTTTGAAATGTAAGTACACTTAGG